ATATTAAAACATTTTGTTTTAAATATCATACATGTCACATAATCAAACCTATTGTTTCTTTCATGATTGACATTTTATTTTCATTGAATTCCTATTTTTGGAATAAAGACATAGAACTTTTTTGTTTACATTTTTTATGTTTTACTCATATTTTAGTCTTTTTCTCTAAGCTCTTTTAACTTACAATTTTTTTTATAAAAATTAGAAAAATGAGCAATTTTTAAGTAATAAAGGGAAAACTGAGATGTCTTATAAAAAGTTATATTAATAAAACATTTAATGTAACTATTTTATCCATAATTTTTTTAGTATAATTTAACATATTGATGTTTTCCTATTTTATCATGTAGACTAATATACAAAAAAATGTCTTATTCATATTAAAAAGCTGGAAAAAAAAATAAGTGTGAATCACAAAAATAGTGAGATGAAAAAAAATAATTTATAAACTATAGTTATGAATATAACAGTTGTAATAATACGGAGTAGTAGTAGTAGTAGTAGTAGTAATAATAATAATAATAATAATAATAATAATCACATTAAAATATATCATTTTTAGAGTTATTGGTTGAGTAGAAAGAATTTGAAGAAAATGAGAAGCGTTGGTAGAAACTGGAAGGAACTGGAAGCAACTGGAAGAACTGGAAGAAACTGGAAGAAACTGTAAAAAAAAACTGGAAGAAACTGGAAGTTAAGAGTTTAAGCCCTAAAGAACAGGCCCTTAGTGGGAAGTTAGGGGTCAGTTATTCCCACTTAGTTAGTGGGAGGAAGAAAAAAGAGGCATAGGAGGATGACGATACATGGTGGCAGGTCACAGAAAGGGTCGCTTCTTACTCGTAGCAGAGGATTCAATGCCCTAGAGCTTCTGAAAGTCTTCCCTCACTCGCCATCTAACATTCCCCATGTAACCCACCACCATTGTCCTCCTACTTCACATTAACATATCTAGGAAAAACATTTTTTTACAAAGTTCAAAACTTAAAAGTAAAGCATGTGAACCCACTCATTTGTGTGATTTTATCATGCCCCTCAATTTGAGGCATAAGCCTCTACCAGTTTTCAAGTCCATGTAACACCTCTTAAGTTTTTTAATGAATGGAGAATTGCAGAGTCTTTTAGAGAATCTTACAATTATTTACGATGAAATTGAGTAAAACTTATATAACACTTGTCTCATGTGTTAGGGCCAACCTAAAAGTAATAACATGGGTGTTTATGATGAGTATTCTTGCACACCATAGTTTGTAACGCGTCGCCTAGGCGTCACCTAGGCGATAAGGCGATGTCACTCGGACGCCTTGTTTGCTCGCCTCGCCTAGAAAACCTTAATAGATGCCTTACCTCGCCTTACTTTGCCTTGATGCCTTGGGCCCCTTTAAAATTTTGAAAACCCCCATTTTTAGTGCAGCCCAATTTCTTTTAGGGTCCGTTTGGTACACGGAATTCATGGAATTGGAATTGAATTGGAATTGAAATTCCATGGGATACAATTCCATAGAATTGAATTCTGCCAATTCCAATTCATCTTTTGCACTATCAATTCCAAATTCACACAATTTTTGTACTACCAAACACCAGAATTGGAATTGAAGCCCTCAATTCCAATTCCATAGTTTGAATTCCGTATACCAAACGGGGCCTTAGTGCAACCTAATAGATTTAAGCTTATCTTCTCTCTCTCTCTCTCTCTCTCTCGATTTTCTTTTAGTGCAGCCTAATACGTGCGTGCGTACATACATGCATGCATGCATGCATGCATGCATACATACATACATACATACATACATACATACATACATACATACATACATACATACATACATACATACATACATACATATATACATACATACATACATACATATGTAGGTATGTATGTCGCCTAGGCATGCGCCTGGTCACCTAGGCGATATGAAGGTACATTGGCGCCTCGCCTGGTCGCCTAGGCGATATGAAGGTACATTGGCGCCTCGCCTTGCCGCCTTACAAACTATGATGCACACATATTACCTTTCAAAATACACTTGTCATCGCCTTATAGGTTGGCTCTAGTCTCTACCAGACTACCAATGGATCTGGAAGGATGCAGTACACAATGTTTACTCATACTCACCTAAAGAAAATGATCTCCTACTAATAAATGACAATGGCAAGCCGCTATATTGCATTAGACTGAAAGCCATGTCCCCTACCTTCTCACTCAATTCAGAAATTTTAACATAAATGCATAGGTTATAAATTCCAAAGAAGAAACTAACCTTTGGTCCTAATAAGAATACGCTAGCACCAAGGAACTTGAATTTTATAAGAACCTAGGCCTTCTATCTGTTGGCCTTAAAATCTGGAAAGAGCACATGAGACTTTCATCAACACTCATTACTGCACCAGCATTATCAAATTCACCACAGTAGTTGGGAGCAGAAAATATAGTTACGAGCTGCCTATCAGCAAAAAACTCATATCCATCTTCCACGACCTGGAGATGAGAGAATTTAGTTTAATAAGTATTTGAGAAAGACAGTGGGGAGAGAAAAACAATCTTAGATACCTGATGTGCACGGCAAACAAGGTCCATATCATGCTGCATCAAGAATTCTGCTACCTTATCAGAACCAAAGGTGTATGAAACACCCCGATCATTCATTCCCCAGCCTTTAATCTCTCTACTGGGATCTGACCAAAGTAAATCACAAAGCAAACCCGAGTCCGGAACATCTGTTGGGCGAGGTAAGTTCCTAATTTGGTCTAAACTTGTTAGATCTGGAGAAAGACCACCATGCATGCAAAGTATTTTATCATCGATGAGAGCAGCTACTGGGAGACAGTTGAAGCACTCGGTGAAAGTTTTCCATATTCTGACATTAAATCGACGCTTGCATTCATCATAGAACCCGTATATCCGGTTGATTGAAGCACACTCGTGATTCCCCCTTAACAGAAAGAAGTTCTCGGGGTACTTGATTTTGTATGCAAGTAGAAGGCATATTGTTTCCAAACTCTGCTTTCCACGGTCTACATAGTCCCCTAAGAACAAATAGTTGGCATCAGGAGGAAACCCACCATATTCAAAAAGCCTCAAAAGGTCACTATATTGCCCATGAATGTCACCTGAAACCGGGTCAAGTGAGAAGAAAAAGGAATAAAAACTTTAGATGTATCATGAATGCAAATATATAGACTAAAATGAACAAGTCACGCTTTTCCCCAAATATTAACACATCAAAGGACTAAGAACAACACAAATGAACAAATAATAGAAGGAAAACAATATTTCTAGGAAAAAATGATTAAAAAACATGTGACATACTACAATCCTAATGCATAATTGATATGTACAAAAAACATAATGGATATAACAATATGTTTAGTTGTTAAGACATGTTAAAAGCAAGATGGACAACTAGAGGAAGAAAAACACACAAAGTTATCTGCAAAATGGTTTGGTTTATCTAAACCGTATCAAACTAAATCAAAAATGTGAATTGTTGTTTGGTTTAGATAATGTGAGCAAACCATTTACTAATAAGTAATATAAAATGGAAATTGGATGGTTTGGTTTTAAACCACGGGAACCAAAATAATCAAATGTTTCTTATTCAAAATAAATAATAAAATAATAATAACAATTATTTAATACGGAGTATATGTGTATTAACTAATATATAAGCATAATATTATTCTAATCCTAATTCTAAACCCTACTTAATTACTCTCTTGGCTTACTTGATTTTCATTGCTTATTTTAATGGGAATTTATAGTTTGATTGCTTGTATAAAGAAATGGAACAACATATATCAGAAAAAAAAAATTCAAACAATCTTTTATAAAGTCTTATTTAAGTTGCCAATATAAAGTTCAAACGGAAACAGACCAGTTTTCTTTTAACCTAAAACTGAAAAATATTACAAAATATTTTGGTTTTTGTTTGGTTTTGCTATCTTACAAACCGAAACCGTTGTAAAGCTAATCACATGCCAATATGTCTTTGATCCAATTGAATCACAGTCGTCCATCTATCCATCTACTAACGAATTCAAGGATAAATTTTTAAAATTTAAATTTTTTCCTATGAAGATTGTAAGAAACTGCAAGTTGATTGTATGATTGTATCAATTGACTATGTTTAACCAAACTAGATGCATACCAATACCCAGGAATTAATATCATCTCCAATAGAAAGAACTCCAAGTCATACGACAATATACATCCTCACCTCATTCCAAAAGAAACAGACTAAATGGAAAAGGCATCCGATCTAGTTAATATCGACTGCATTGCAGTATCAAACACTACTCCCTTTGACCAGCTAAAAGGTTCTACATTATCTTATTGGTCTATCCGTCCATCCAAAAAAGGGTTCCAATATTCTTCGTTTGTCCGTAAAAAAAGGTTTTAACTTTCCTTCTAATAAAAGAATTCTGTGATACCATTTCCCTCTTCTTCATGAATCTCAACAACGCAATTTTAACTTTACTAAGAACCGTGGAAGTTTCAAGGTGGAACCTTTTTTAGGGATGGAAGGAGTACAAAACAAGTAAATCAAAATCAGTGGTTTGCACGATCTACTTCACATTGGCACTAAGCACTGATGCAGGCACATGCAACAGAATCTGCTCAAAAATTTAGCAAACCCCCTCCAAACACCAAAAGAAAAAAAAAACATGTTATTCTTAACCAACAACCTTAGTGGTATACGCATTGCTTGATGCTATGTACGAATAGGTTGCTCACATTCATGGAAAGTTCCACATCCACAATCCAAAGAACAAAACTTTCTACAGATTTACCAACTAGAACAGTTGTTTGTCCCAAAATTAACAACATGGGATATGAATAAACACCTAATTAAAAAGCAACCCAACAGATAAATAACAATTTTATAATTCTACCACAGCAGGAACAACAAAACAATGGCACATTCAAGAACACCAACACAAAAATCGTGCATTAACAGAAGAGTGGATTGGGGGTATACCGCAGATCTTAATGGGGGCTTCGAGCTCCAAGAGATTGGGCTGCTGTAGGAAGATTTCTCTGGAAGCATTACAGAGAGCGCGGATCTCGTTCTCCGAGAGTTGAACCTGCCGTACGGTTCTGGCGTTTCTGAACTCCAATAGCCGATTGATTATATCATCCAAAAGAGCGGGCTCTATTCCCTGCCCATTCTGCGCCATCTCTCCCCTCTATCTCTCTCCCTCTATACCTCTCGCAATTAGGGTTTCAGAAAAAATAATCCTACAATAAATAATAAATCTCGATATTACGTATTAACCTATTGCTGTTGGCGACAAGGAAGAAACGATTATATCCGCAACTTATGCGAGTCTAGGTTTTGGAGTGGGAATCAAAATTATGGAATAATCGTCACGGCGAGAGAGAAAGAGAGAATGAGATGATGGTGCGGCGGCGGCGGCTGCAGCTCCGATTCGGCGGAGTTCTTTCTCTCTCTGCAAATCTATTCTCCCATTCTATCCTTCTCTCTCCCTCTCGTCTTCGAGTGATTCGCTGCCTCCCACCCTCGTGTGGTTATAGGCTTATAGAGTTATAGCTGATATTTTTTTCCTCATTTTCTCTATCAAAAAAGATAAACAAAATACGGAGTATTTAATTTTGTTTAGCAGAATATCTAATCTCTTTTAAAATAAACGACACAATTATTATTTTACACTACATATACTCTGGTAGTCATATTTTGTAGTCATAGACCTTAAAATATGACTACGAGAGTAGTAAGCAAATAGTCCTTCTGTTCTGAAATGTTCTTCTCATTTACTATTCACACGGTCTAACTTTAATCACTTTCTTTACCTATTTTCATTAGGTATTTGATAAAATAATATAATCTTGTCACCACTTGTTTTGTAGAACTTTTGATATAGTTTTTAAATATATAAATTTTATTTTTTAATTTTACACCTACAATCAAATAAATTGAATTAAAAATAAAGTCAGTCAAACTTCATAAACAGAATCGGGAAGAACATTATAAGACGAAGGGAGTATAAAGTATTCATTTAGTTTAATTATATGAATGTTCACACATAAACTTTAAGTTCATACAATAATTTGTCATCAAAATAAGACTTATCTTTTTTACATTGTATTGTCATCAAAATAGGCAATGTCATATGTCTACAATTACATTGTATTGGCATTTTACATTATTTTTTAGCATTATATTTTTATATTATTTGACCTAAAAATCAACTAAATTTAGATGAAAAAATTGAAGGGGTTAAGGGTGGATTCAGATTAGACCATGATAAATGATTTGTCAAAGAAGTTAGAAAGATAGAATCATCGTTTTTACAAACGTATGGTGCTCAATTGGAGTGATGGGATATTATAACAACATACTTATTCAAGAAATGACTCAAATTATGATTTTATCGTGGGATGGAATTAGTAAAAGGGTTTCAAATTTGATCTCAAATGCTACACCCATTAGCTAGAATAAGAGCTTGGTTTAGTATTCTACAATTGGTTCATTTAGTTGATAATTGATAGGATGTCAAAAAAAGTTAGTCTAAAGTTTCTTTAATGATGATTATGTTCAAAAGGATTATGTTCCATATGGAATCTCTATAAATATCATGCAAAGACATTTACCCAGCTTTCTCATTGGCAAGATTTTTGCTGAATGAATAATGTTTTCATCATTCTACCTTTGAATGAAAGCAATAGGATTATGTTGATTATTTATAGTCTACAGAGACTCCACGCGGAACATAATTCTTTGTTACAGTATCATCATAAATTAAACTATAGTCTATCTCTTTTTCACTTTCTATCAAGTACCAACCAAATAAACCAATTGTAGAACAATTATACTAGGTGTACCACAAAAGTTAACACTTACATTTCGATGGCTTGTATTGACATAAAATGTCATTGCGATCGTAAAATTTTGTATTTATATTTTGTGTTAATGTAACCATCAATCTTGCACTTTTTTTTGATCAAATGAATCAATCTTGCACTTACTTTAACATATAATATAAATATAAATCTTTGGGATATATTTTGGGTACAAGTAGATTTATCCTTTCATTATTACAGATGGGTACATGCACGAGATAATGACTTGATTGTAATTAAGGGTTAAATATGTTTTTAGTCATTGTGAAATAAACAGGCTTTTTTGGTTCCTATAATTTTTTTTGTTTAAGTCATCCTTTGAAAAAAAATGTTTTGAAAATGGTCCTTATACGTAATTAAGATTCTTAATTTGTTGACATAACACATTTATTTCGTACTCAACGTCTTAGTTCTTCATTTCCAAATTCCAATTGTTTTAGACAATTATCATGCCTTTTTATGGCTTACTTATTTTCTCTGTTCTATGCATCACTTTCAACAACACAATTTTATTTTTCTTAAGCTCCGTGCAAGATCAAACTAAGAGCTTTAGATAGGTACAGCCAAAAAGGGTTGGTAGTTGGCTGTTTTGACCCATTTAAGCGGATTTGACTGGTCAAACAACCAAAAAGGATGTTTGATAGTTGGCTGCAAGGGTTGGCGGATTGAGTCCGAAAAGCCAGAAATTTAAAAAATTACAGGAGCAGCATTTCGGTTTGGCGGTTGGAAAATAGATTTTTTTATTATTTGTTATTGTATGAAATTTTTATGAATAAATTAAAAATAATTATTTATTGCCTAATGAAATAAAAATTTGATATATAAATCAATATATAAATAAATAAGTAAATCAAATGATAACTAAATAAATTAATAAGTAAATAAATAGTCCTTCCTCATGTACAATTTATGAAGCGGTTTGCGAGATTTTTTTCTATTTTTTTAGAACTTGGTGTAGAAATAAACAAATTATATATTTAAGAACTACATCAAAAGTTTTTTGAAAGAGAATATGATACTCCGTATAATTATATAATTCTATCAATTGATTGATAAAAACACATACATAAATAAAATCATAATAACTTTAATTTATAAATAAAATCATAATAACTTTAATTTATACCATCATATAATTACATAGGTGAAAATTTCATTAAATTTAATTTAATTTATAAAAGCTATTTCGAAGAAGCTAAGTTTACCAAACATTTTTATCAACAACCAATACAATCAATTATTGGTCAAAGCAGCCAACTCAATCAGCCGTTCAAATCGGCCAACACGAGCAGCTATCAACCAAAATGTCTTGTTTCTTTTTTATTCGTTTCTTAAAAAATATTTCAAAAAACAATTTATAAATTTAAACTATTCATCAACAATAAACCAATAAACATAAAAAAAACTAGTTTTTTTCTCACAACCACCAAACAAACACCAACTCCACTAATTCAATGTAGAGCAAGAGACATCGGAAAACATGAAACTGGTTACACACACACATTACATGTCACACAGTACCCCACACNGTGTGTCTATTATTGTTAATGTGGATTCTATATTTTACATATATATTTTCTTGCCCATCTTTAAAACTCTACCAAATGCAAAGATTGGCTCTGCAGAGATAATCTTTGAGAATATAAATAAATTCTTGGGAAGCCCGTCGTCGTGAGACACCAAACCTCCGTCTGGTTTCAATCTTTATCCCCAGGTTTTGTTTATTTCTCATCCATAATTTCACTTTCTCTCCATCTAATCTTGCATGTGTTCAATTGAGAAAGATTTTTTTTTTTTTTTTGTGAAAATGTTTTCCATTATGGGTCTTGAAAATGTTGTTTTCCATTGAGATTTTGAAAATGTTTTGCATGTGGGGTCCTTTTTTATCAACATGAAAACCTTTGCCTTTTTTTCTTTGTTTTTTAATGTTAAATCTTGTAATTGGAACTAACAAATGAACTAACTTTCAGGAGTGAGTCAACATTAACCAAACCAAATGGAGGAGATCCATAATGAAGATGTTCAAGAGATGAGAAACAATGAACTCCCACAGGCTCACCACCTGCTTCCTTGCAATTCCATATGTTCCTTCTCAAATACGGAACGACATCTCGCGGAATCCAGCAACAGAACAAGTTCTGCTAAAAAACTGTGGGTAATACTAATCCTTTCTGTATTAGCGATGGTCGTGGAGATTATAGGAGGCATACTAGCAAACAGCCTAGCTGTGTTCACGGACGCAAGTCACTTGCTAGTTGACACATTTGGATTCTCCATATCTCTCTACTCATTGCGGGTTTCGGGACGGGTGACCACTCCTGAACACTCCTTTGGATTCCAAAGGGGGGAAGTTTTAGGTTCACTTTTGAATGTGGTCTTGATATGGGGTGTCTCTCTGGTCTTGATCTACCGTGCCGTGGAGAGAATTTTCCACAAAAACGTTGAAGTTAATGGGAGACTGATGTTTGCAACTGCAGCGTTTGGTTTCCTTATTAACTTGGTCTCGGTTTGGGTGCTTGGTCATCACCATCATCACGACCACGACCATCACCGCCGGACCCACAATCTAGATGATGAGCACAACCAAGAGCTGCAAGTGCTCAATCGAGATGAGAGTAGGCCGATGCCAATACCTTCAACCTCTTCATCTGCAGGAGAGAGGAAAACAACAAACATGAGTGTTGATGCGGCTTACGTGCACACCATTTGTGATTTGATTCAATCTATTGGAGTGATGATTGCTGGAGGCATCATGTGGTGGAAGCCAAAGTGGTTTCTAGTCGACCTGGCTTGCACACTTATCTTCTCAGTGATATCCCTTTATACAACGATAAAGATTGGTAGAGAGGCGGTCTGGATCTTGATGGAGAAGGTGCCGCATGAAGTCGATATTGCCATTCTAAAGAATGGTTTGAAAGACATCCGCGGAGTTCACGATGTCCATGACCTGCATGTCTGGTCCATCACTACAGGGAGGATTGTTTTGGCATGCCATGTTGTGGTTGAGCCGGGGGTGGACCCTAGTGACGTGCTTGGTAGGGTTAGAGAATTTTGTCTCACGACATTTAATATTCATCACATAACCATACAAATAGAACATTTACCTCATCAATCAATGGTTATGTGATTCTTAGGTGTTTCATGATTATTTTGGGAATGTGATGATAATTGCAAACAGTTAGATGTAAAAATACGTCTGTCACCAAGCAAGAAAAATTGAAAAGCTATGCAATTGGTCATTTATATAATACCGAGTACAAAAAAGAAGTTAGGTGACATGAAAACGTACATGGGAGAAGATCATCTTGTTCTAACCACCTACACAATAAACATCCACCAGATCTATTTTGCAACAATTTAGTAGGAAAGTACACTACAAACTAACCTTTCTTGTTCCATGAGAAGAAAAGGGGAGGACTGAGGATCTGCCCAAACCCAAACAATCATTCATCCATTGATTCAAAACACTCAGGTAGAGCAGCAGCCTCTCTTCGCATTTTCAGAGGGATCGCTAACATTGATGGTGGTACCCTGACCAGGAAGTGCAACAGCTTTGGCTGCTTCCTCTGCAGCCAATGCCTTCTTGCTGATTATATGATAGGTCTCTAACAAGATAGTCTGAAAAGCCTTTTCTACATTATATGCTTCCAGAGCTGATGTCTCGAGAAATGAGAGCCCTTCCTTTTCAGCCAAGGCTTGACCATCCTCCTCTGACACTGCTCGTAGGTGGTTAAGGTCTGACTTGTTGCCGGCCATCATGATGACTATGTTAGAGTCTGCATGGTCTCTTAGCTCTCGGAGCCACCTTTGGACATTATCGAAGGTTTGCTTTTTCGTTATGTCGTAAACAAGGAGAGCTCCTACAGCTCCTCTGTAGTACGCACTCGTGATGGCTCGATACCTTTCTTGACCTGCAGTATCCCATATTTGAGCCTTCACTGTTTTCCCTTCCACCTAGCATCATATTAGGAACACACATTGAATATTTTAAACAAGTGCCAGTAAGATTAGAGCCTCATGACTACCAATGATAAAAGAATTGGACCATTTCACTCAAGATAAACTCATGCATCTATAGAAGTACTTAGAAGTTATTAACATCACATATCAGTGACATTTCTTCCTTTTTACAAGATGCATGATTGACAAAAGAGATTCATCAATCACATAAAAAAATTGAAGCACACTCAACCAACAAGAAACAGGCAATATACATCGAATGTTCTGTGTTATCAACAAGACCATTGCACAGCAGAAACAATAAAGAATGAAAAAGAAATGGTTGAAATTTGTTCTTTCAAATAACTATAAACAAAAGTATAAGACAATGCACTATCAAATTCCCACAAGAGACTTAATCAATGGCAAAGACGCTATTAGATTTCCAATTAAAAAGTGCTTTCTTAATCCATGTTGCTAATTCAAACATATCCCCAATAAATGTCTGTTCATGTCATGGTGTTGGTTTGCAAAAGAACAAAAGGAACTAGTGCGATATTATTATTCACTTTCAAGATAGACCTGCAAATATTATTCACTTTCAAGATCACATATATCACATGAAACTAGTGCAATATTCTTCCGTTCAAGGATTTTGAAAAAACAATCAACGACAGAGGCATTAAACAGTTGAAATGAGACGATCAAAATACAACTCTAAGATGCAAAAACAGAGCTCCGTCTAAATTTCACAGATCAAAATATAACCACAGAACAGAGAATACACATAATATACCTAAGGCACTACTGAAACAATCATACGGAGCTAAAAAAAGTTCGAGTGAAAGAAGACCTGAAGAGTCCGAGTGGCGAATTCGACCCCAATAGTGGATTTGGACTCCAAGCAGAACTCGTTCCTGGTAAACCTGGACAGAATGTTGGATTTCCCGACTCCAGAATCTCCAATCAACACGATCTTAAACAAGTAATCAAACTCGTGATCCACTCTATTCCCCATCCCTCCTACGAACACAAATCAACAACCGGACACTCAGATCCAATCAATCAATAACATGAACGCAGAAAACCTGAGAAATCACACGAAAGCTTACTGAGAACGGAGAGATCGAAGAGAGATTCCGGCGAAGTCGCAGTTTGGAAACGGTCGGGAAATCGTCTGTGTGCTTGGGGAAATTGGACTTTATGTGAAGGAAATGCGGCAAAGTTAGAGAGAGAGAGAGAGGATTTAAAAGTTTTGGGGGGTGGATATATTTTGCTGTTCCGAAGCGGCGTCGTATTGGAGAAGTGGACAAAAAAGGTGCGTCTGCTCTCTCGGTTGGCAGTTGAGAGTTGAGACTGGCCGATTGTGGGAATCTTAGTGCTTTCCACGCAAGCTTTTTAGCCTTTTCATAACCCACCATGTCAAATCGTTTTTTTAATTTTTAGTGGCTTTGGAAAAGTTTTGATAATTAGAAAGAAAATTATAACACCATGAGAGTAGCGTTTTTTATTAACGTTAGTGTTTTGAATAAAATTTTAACAGTACAAATTTACTTTTAAAAGCTAACATCAAAAGAGACTATCATATAACATTTTTAAAACGGTAACGCTAATATTTAACATTGATTTCAAATGAGACTTTTGTCATAAAGCCCCTTGAGGGTAGTATTTTACATGTGGTTTAGGTTGACGAAAAGCATAGATTCAAACATCTTACTATATACAAATACAAATACTACATACAAAGCAAAAAGATTAGGGAACAATGTTCTCGCCATTTTAATGTAGCACACTAGTGGGCTAATTAAGTGCAAACATGTTAGAATACAGATAAGGGAAATCTTGGGCTGTTTGGCCCAGTTTCGGCCCAAATTCAGAATATGTCACTGAAATAAACTCTAATTCTCATCTCAGATCTTCACTTACTATTATAAATACAACATTCAAAGCAATCAATACATCACAATTCCCAAGAACCATCATACTAAATCTATTTCTCTATCTTTCCATATCACTTCTCCCATCAATGGCAAGTCTTGGGTAATGGTGTTTGCTGAAAGACGTTGACAGCAAGAAACGGCGATGTATGTGCTATTAAAGTTCGTGTCGTCCGAGCCTTCCGATCTCCACCATTTGCTTCTCGGGGGCAAACTTTTGACATACTTTTTCATGACCAATATATCTGTATAAGTATTGCATGCAATATTAGTATAACGTCAAAATAGACCATCATATAACATTTTCAAAACGCTAAAATTAATATCTAACGTTGATGTCAAACGAGATTGTTGTCATAAAGCCCCTTGGGGGTATTATTTGACACGTGGTTTTGGTTGACGGAAACCATAGATTCAAACATATGTATCAACAGTAGAAGGGAACACCCATTTTCATATATCAATCGCTGCCCACGCAAAACAATGATGTTTAGGTTCTTCCCAAAACGCAACCTCCCCAAAAAACAATGGGAAGACGATACACCAAGAGGGCACGAGCAAAGAACCCCAAGAAACTTAGACAACGACGAAGGAGGAAGTGTAGACCCAAGCTTGGGTGAACATTTTCGAAGCCCCGATAAAAAGTTAATTTGTTTCGCAATTTAATTTAATTTTTTATGGAATTTCTTTTCTTCTTTTTTTCTTACACTTTTTTTTTCATTTTTTCACAATCAGAAAATGCATAAAGCGCTTAGAATTTTTGGGCTAAGGGCACTTGTTAGTTTCACGCGTTGATGAACACGAAGCCCTATCCCCTATAGCCCTCTCGACACGGTCATCTCCCAATATCGTGATATGAACACAAAAATTAACAAGTTCATTAGGATATAGAACTACCTCTTCCTCGCATGGGCAAGCAGTGCAAATGATGATGGGTTCTAAAAATGACGCTTGAAACATATCAAGCAAGACATCATAACACGTGCACCACAACCTTCGTGCAAATTTAGTTGAGCATTTGTCGAACTACGCTCCCCCACTTTCAAATGATGAGTAATTGTATTTCTCATCAGTTGTATTTTTAAATATTTTTTTTAAATTCTATTTTTTTAATCGCATCAATGTTATTTTAATTTTAATGATATTATATTATTTATGTATTGTTATTTATTTTAAGTTAATTATGATTTAAACAAATATTAGACGTGATGAACCTGATCCACACCCTTGTGGGAGTTGTGGCAATACCTTACGCGTTAGAGCATCACTACTCATTTTCGATATTCGTCTTCCGCATCATATACTTTTAATATTTGATCATTTAGTCCTTCATTTTTCATCATCATTCTCTAATCATTCCCATTCCCTTTCTAATTATTCTCTCTTCTTTCCCCATCCACATCATCCTCTGCTCACAGTGTGTCAGCTTTGGGTCTCACTAGCAGTATCTCAATTCTCACGTGCCGATCTTATCTTCTTTTCTCTCTTAAACAATTACTGTAAAATAACCAGCGCTCTCTTCTCCCCTGTCATGATCCTTTCCCCTTCAATTCTCCATCTTCAACACAGGTAAATGGAAACTTCCAAGGAGCAAGTCGGTTCATCTTCTTCGTTAACTGAAGATCTCTCAGCTTCAAAGGATTCATCCCAGCCGTCAAGCTTCCCCGAGATTTTCTCCTTACTCTTCCCTCCTCCGCCCGCTGTACGTCTCTCTCTCTCTCTCTCTCTCTCTCTCGTGAATTTATCGGTTTTAGAGTGAATTCTCATCTGGTTTCGGTCGATTGTACGGCATATTTATGTGTTCAATTCAATGTTGAAGGTCCCACAATTCAATTTTGAGGACATCATCGCAATTAACCTAAAGCAATTCGACTTTATTAGAATGGGAACCCTACCCAATTTCTTATTAGGGCTGGCAATTTAAATTTTTGAACCAGATTGTGTTGAATCATTGATTCTGGATAACAGATGAACCTTACTTTTTGTGTGAGAAAATCAACTGATGAAACTTAGTCGTCCATACATGTATTGTTGTGTAGCAAACCCATCCCACAGTTGAATTGAAGTAGACGAAAAATTAGAGCAAAATAAAAAGATTCATCCTAACTCCTTTAGTGTGAGGCTGCCATTTGGGAGGTGTCTAAAAACAAATCCGTATGGTCCAAAGTAGACAATATCATACTGCTTTGTGCATCGCCTCATCGGGATGCCCTTTAATACGATGTGACAATATTTCTGCTCCGGGCTGCCCTTTAATACGATGTTCTAACATTGCATTCGGGCGACATCGCATGATTTAAAATTGTGAATGGATATTTAAACATAAGTTTTTTAGGCATCAGAGTGTGATTGAATGTATTATGGAGTTACAGGTGGGGAAGAAAACTCCATCTTTAGACCTGATCGAGTCTCTTGTCAAACAGATATATGAAAGTCAATGTCAAACATGGAAGAAAAAGATTTCGGGTATGTGCCATCTTTGAAGTTTATACCTTTTCGTTATACCTTGTCATAGTGTCCATCAAAACTTGTTTTGCCCAATGCTCTATAAGACATATTCATATTCACTAGACTAGAAGTTTCATCACTTTCATGCACATTTTTTTTCATTGTAGTTTGATGAACTATTGCAAGCAAAACCCAAGATTGGCACAAGAAAAATAACTTGTGATTGTTTTTGTGAGCAGATGGGGTGGCTAACAGAGGGGAATGGGGCACGATATTCCAGGACAGACCGGACGCTTCCCCATTGAGTTCATCACTGTACTATGGAGCTCAAGAGGACATGTATATCAAGTCAACAGGTGCACAATCATATTCTAAGGTTAGCATGTTAGTAGAAAACTCTACTGTGTGTTTTTCATCTACGTATTGATTGATTAAAGAGTTAAATACATTTTGGGTCCCTATAAAATGCGCTGACTTTTGGTGGGGCTAAAAGAGTTGATTAAAGATCGCTCATTTTACAGAGACCAAAAACATATTTAACCCTTAGTTAAATAATCAAACACGATGGTGCTGACCACTTTTAGATCCCTTGAATGCCTCTAGTATGATAAGGAATATGACCCCAACGAAAAAAGCTCACAGAGTGTCCCAGGAGCAAACTGGTGGGATGGTATGGTTTGTGTCTGTTTGAGAATTTTGTACAATTTCATGAGAAACTGTTTGGGATATAAATACCTTTGCATCTTTTTTTAATTGCAGGGTCAGTCTATTACTAAGGCTCCACTGTGACCTGCCTAAACCCAGAAGCAAAGGTGAATTAGTGAAATAAGCTAAATATAGAAGATGGGGCCTTCTATGTGACAGGATTCAGGAGTCATGTGTCTAGAATTGTATGTTATAAAACTTAAAAGCAATAATTTTCAAAAAAAAAAGCCTCTGTTATTTTTAATGCAGTGGTAAAGTTGGTACAAGTTAAGGTTGGTATGAGATATTATTGGGTTGTCATTGGTGCTATTTGGTACAACCTAAGGTTGGTGTTATAGATACATAGACAACAATTGTCTGTGAGATGCTCATTGCTCATGTAATACTAGGTTACGTAGCTCCTCTTATTTCAGTGATATTCTCACAATCATATATATTGCATATTTTAGTGATATTCTCACAAGTCACAATAAACAGTGCACCTGTGGAGAAGGATACTAGTTTTAGTAAAAATAGGATATGAATTAATTGACGTGATTGAGACAAATTCGAATTCTATTTTACAACAAACTCGCATAAAAACCAGGTTCTATTTGATAACAAATTCCTACAAAAGTGGGCTATAGCCCAAGAAGATATTTGCATACAATTCTCTGGTGTTATTTATTATAAACAAAAGAATAAACTTAGGGGTATTACTAAAATGGTATATTCCATTTGTACATTAGACAAACATAAATACTTATTGTCTTTGGATCTGTATTGTATTTGCCTGGGGGGATGAATTCTATTTGCGGGGATGGGATGGGGTAGTACCAACGTCTAAAAATCAAGAAATGCATGAATCCATCAATTCAACGTGGACTCATATTTAGGTTTGTCATTTACGAAAAGTTACCCAAACAACAACAAATTAAAAACTATAAACGTTAATCATTTAATTTGATTACAAACAAGACCATAATCAATAATCTCATCTAAAACCATGCATTAATAAAATAAAACAATAAACCACCCATCAACATAATATTAGCAACGATCAAAAGGTCCGGCGGGGTCAAGCTGCTTACACAGATTGAGATATGTGAGGTAGAGCACTCTATCCTTTGCCCCTGTTCTGTGATTCTTTGTGTGTTTACAGAAATACCTCAACTGCTCCAGGGTGCAACAGCCCAGTAATTGTCCCAACAGCAAAAACAGCCAGTTTATGGCCTTTTTGCTGCTGGCGATGACTGGTTTCGCACTGTTCTCTTGGTCGCAGAACTTGCAGGCCGGGAGGACAGGGTTCCTCCATACCTCCGGGGCCCGCTCGTGCATGTCGGTTTTGTGGTCCCTTATGAAGTTCCCGACCTCGTAGAACTTCTTCTCCAGGTCGAACTCCATCTCGTACGCGTGCTCGCACCGCTTGCACTGCACCTCCCCCGTGATCACCGAGATTCCCTTGGAGAGTAACTCACTCAGGGGTTGCACGGTCGCCCGCCGCTCCGTGGCCCACGGGAACGGGGGAGCTATCGTCTCGCTCTTCCCCTCCCGCGGGCCCTGCGACGGGTTCCGCCGCTGCTGGCGCACTTGCCGGAACGGAGCTGCCAGCGGTTGGTCGTGCCCGTGCGCCGGCGGCGACACCGCCGCCTGCGGCGGCGGGAGGATGAAGGGTTGTGGCTGGGGAGATCCCAGCCCTTTGCACGCCAAGGTGAGGCACAACATGTCTCCTCCGCAGCCGCCGCCGCCGTGATCCTCACCGCTGTCCTTTTCCCGATTTTTTCTCTTGTTCATCGTTTGGGATCTCCGTGCGTGGACTACTATTGGATATGCATGAAGACTCCCAAGAAAAAAGAGAGCAATGCATTTCTTAAAGTAGGTTTTGTTTAACTTATAAAAAGATTAGAGTTCTAACAAGGATCAAAGAGCTAATCAGGCGTAAAGATAGGGCTCTAACAATAAAATTATTTTCTGAAAATGATTAATCAGTAGCGACACTGATACTCCCAAAGACTCTACCAATAAAATACTTCGGTCGGGAGGATTTAAGGGTACGGTTCATAACGTGACGAGAAAAAAAGAGGATTATTTATTCTACCGAATTAAACTATACGGAGTTTATTTTGATTTTGTTTTTTTAACAATACACTAATTTTGCTAAAACAATTCGGAGTAGTTAACTCCACCATTAGTCTTTCAACTTTATTAATTGTGCATGATTGGTCCTTCAAATCTTAAAAGTTCATAAATAGTCCTTCAACTTTATGAGTTATGCACGATTGGTCCTTCAAGTTTAAAAGTGCATAAGTAGTTCTTCAAGTACACGTCAGCCCCCCAGATTAGGTTCTTTTGACAGTAAATTTTAAAAGCTAAATAGAATACTAGCTCCATATAATACGAAGTAGTCGTACCTAGTAGAATTTACTCGTATTATATGAAACTAGTATTTCGTTTAACTTTTAATATTTACTGTCAAAAGGAATTCATCTGGAGGACTGACGTGTACCTGAAGAACTAGTTATGGACTTTTGAAACTTGAAGGACCAATGGTGCAGAACTCATAAAGTTAAAGGAGTATTTATGGACTTTTGAAACTTGAAGGACCTATCGTGCACAACTCATAAAGTTGAATGACCAATGGTGGATTTTAGCCTTTAATTAATGTTTGAGAACTAGAATTAATTTGAAATTTTAGATTTCAATTTTAATATAATATTTGAAATCCCATTATTTCGAATTTCAATATTGTTTGGAAATTCATATGATTTCATTTTCAGAATTTGAATTTTGATGTCGGTCAAGACGGAGACAGAAGCGTGTTGATATCTACTTCCTCTCCCTCATAAATTATTTATCCTTCCTTTATATATATATATATATATATATATATATATATATATATATATATATATATATATATATATATATATATATATATATATCCGTGTGTGTGTACGTTGATTCTGGTGAGAATGCGATCTTAGGAGAAAAATAAGAATGAATCTGGTGCTTTAAATTGTGAGATCTAAGGGTCAGGATTGCATCAAAATTAGGTGCACCAAAATGATTTTAAAATGCATCACGTCAAAATGCACCAAAATCTTTGAAAATGCACTATCTCAAAATCCGAGTGCTAGCTGCAATATAAGCCGCAAGATACATCAGATCCAATGGCTAGATTTTATTCTCATTTCTCTTCACAAGGTGCATTCTCACGGGAACCAGTCCGTATATATGTGTGTGTGAGTCCCATGAGAAATATATACCATTTGATGGGAGCCTGGCCCATCAAGTAATTAAGGGGCCGGATCTAAGGTATAGCCAGATTAGATAAGCCATAAAAGCCCATAAGTGTAGAAGAGTAGTCCATACGAGATAAGAAAAGTTTAATTTGGGCCAAGTCTAGCTTGAGACCAAGTCCAAGAAGTGAAAGTACTAAGTGTTGGAGGACGCCAAGATAAAGGAAAGATTGGGCTAGAGAGCCAGCCCAAAACGTTTTAAAGTAATTATATCAAAGGAAAAGTTGTAGGAATCCACGTACAACCCCCATCCGTACATCTCCTCACTAAGCTATGTCCACCTGCGTAGAGCAATGACAACATTATACGTTCTTATAACGTCTCAAAATAGAAATAAGAAGTTTGTTTTTGGAATGAGTTTTATCATTTTATCAACAATGGAGGCTCAACATTCTTGAATCATATTTTCCCAATATCTTTACCATTATGTTTGGTTAAAGAAATTTGAAAGAGAAAAGAAAACAAAATGAGAGGTTAAATATTTTTTCATTTTTGGTTTGAGAGGAAAGAAAATAAATGAGAAGGTAAAGTTACTAAGAGGAAAACCAAATTTCTTCCATCTTGGTAAGGAAAATAAGAGATCTAAATCTATTCTCTTTTCTTTTCCTTTCAAGATCCTTGACCAGGAATTCCTTTTTTTATATATTCCTTCACGGCATATTATTAATCTTTTTTGGGTATAAAGATTAGATAGTGAACTTAGGGGCTGTTTGTTTCAGCCTCTTAATGGTTCAGATGTCTGAATGGTTCAACACTTAATGGTTCAGACTGTTTGTTTCAACCTCTTAATGGTTCAAATGTCTGAATGATTAAGTATTATACAGAGTCTGAATGGTTAAGACCTCTTATCTGAATTGATCAGACATTTGCCTCTGAATAGTTAAGCAATATACTAGCTCTTAATAGTTCAGACTTCTTACTCGTTCAGCACTTAATGGTTCAAACCTCTTACTGGTTCAGCACTTACCTATTCAGAAGTTGCCAAACAGTTCTTTAATCATATAGGTACACCACAATGTGAGTTATGTGACCCAATACTAACTCTCACCACCATGCTAAAATCTACTCTATGCGTACAAACTACTCACTCTAGCAAGTGTGGAATGCGTGCAATTAAGGACATCTTTTCCTTTCAAATTTTATTAGTGGGGCCTTGTTTTGAATACGTATATACTCGGGGGTATATTATATAAATGGGCGACCAACCAATCAGGAACATACAATATAATTGATCGAGAGTAATGGCGGCGGCGGAGCAAGGCAGCGGAGACGCAGACCACCGCCGCAGGGGGGTGGCGGTGCTGGTGCCTTACCCCTTCCAGGGCCACCTCACGCCGATGCTCCAACTGGGGTCTGTCCTTCACAACAGGGGATTTTCCATCCTCATCGCCCACACCCAATTCAACTCTCCCAACCCCAAAAACCACCCCAACTTCCTCTTCCACGCCCTCTCCGACGGCGGCCTGTCGTCGTCGAGGGGCGGAAGCATACCGCCGGAGAAGTTCTTCGCGACCATGCAGGAAAACTGCAGGGCGTCGCTGGAGAAGTTCCTCGCCAGACGGTTGGAAAAACAACATGGTAAGGATGATGAGGAGATGATTAAGTGCGTCATTTATGATAACAATATGTTCTTTGCGAGAGAAGTGGCGGCCCGTCTGGACATTCCCAGCATCGTATTGCGCCCACACTGTGCCGCCATTTTGCAGCATATTGCCTTGGCTCTTACCCATGGTTCTGGAGAAGATGATAAGCCACAAGGTTTGTCTATTTCTTAACACTTACTTCTCCGGTCCCACAAAACTGTTCTGGTTTCGATTCTTTACAGAATTTACGGAGAATGTATTTTAGTGTTGACTTTCTGAAAATGCCCCTAGATTAATAGTGAAAAAGTGTAATGCGAAGTTGCAGATGAGTCGTGGACGTTTCAAAGAGATGCAAAGTCACTGCAATATCTACAGAACCTCTACGACGCGTATCCGTCGGTGGCATGCATCTGGAACACGGCGGACTGCCTAGACCACTCCGTCCTCGCACAGCAGCCTCATCAACGGCCGGACGCCACCAAGACCCCCTTCTTCGCCATTGGCCCTCTCCACAAGCTCGCTCCTCCCGACTTCTCCTCCTCTTGCAGTCTCCATGAAGAGGACTCCGCCTGTCTCGCCTGGCTCGACACCCATCCTCCTCGCTCCGTCGTCTACGTCAGCTGCGGA